ACCGGATGTTAAAGAGCATAAGTATTTTAAAGAGCTGGAGTACCAGTGCTCTGTTCTGTAGTCATTACAGTTATAAAGACATGGCAAAAATCATTCTGAACTCTCTTGTATAGGGATGAAAATAACACTCCTTCTATCAACAAACTGGATTTGGCACATAGTTTAATTAGTTTGGAAGCCTGTGAGAAACCTCAATGTACTTCATATTAAATTATATTTCCATTTATTTGTATGTTGGCAAGTTTCGTGACAGATTACATCCACTGCAAATATATCTACAAATGGTAGAAAGATAGAGTTAGCTAGGATAGGAGAAAAATTAGAGCTGTTTTCTTAATTAGCAAAGAGCTAAAGTTCATCAGAAAAAGATGTGGCTCTTCAGGAACACTTCCCGAAGTACATTTTAATTGTTCTTTGTCTTCTTGTGGGACTTTTGCCTCCAGGGTTTGAGGCTCCTCTCAGACCGCGGTCACTAAATGACCTTCGTCTTTATCTCTTGGAACACTGTTTATGCATTTCGTCCACACTGTAGTTTCTCCATGACCCTCTATTCCTGTATCTTAGATTATCTGGCCTTGACTTTCTTTTGAAGGGTAAAACAAGATGAACTTCTTTTCCTAAAAATCACAATAACTCCATCACATGCTTATGCCGTTCGTGCCAATGTGGCAACGTGGGTAAGAGGCTACTTTCTTCCAAATAAATAGGACATCGTTGAAATCTAAATCTTATATACTAACTCATAAAACAGTGTGTGCTGGTGAACATTTGTGTGGACTGTGGAAGTTTTTGGTATATTTTGGATATGAACCTATTCTCACTTAAAAGTATTATAAATGTTTTCTTTCACCTGAGGATTTTCACCCTTTATGATACTTTTTTTATAACAGATGTTCTCTCATTCAGTTTTTATTTTGAAATAATTTTAGACTTACTGTAAAATTGCATAAATAGTGCAGACAGTAAAACTACAAAAATTGAACAGAGTTCACATACACCCTATAAACCAGCAGCCCCGAATGTTAACAACTTACATAACCATCATACATTTGATCAAAATCAGAAAAGTAACATTGTCTAACCCACAGACCTTATTTAATTTTCACCAGTTTTTCCCCTAATATCCTTTTTCTGTTCCGAGATCCAATCAAAATCCCACAATGCAATTAGTTCTCATGTCCCCTTAGTTTCCTCCATCCTGGGACAGTTTCTCAGACTTTTCTCGTCTTTCATGACCTTGACATGTTTTGATAGGTTTTGGCCATCTATTATGTCAAATGTCTCTCAATTTAGGCTTAGAGAAGACCAAAGTTATGCATTTTGGCGAGAACGCCACGGAAGTGATGTTGTGTCCTTTTCAGTACATCATGTCAGGAATTATAATGTTGATTTTTTTTTTATTTTGATGTATTCAAATATGTATTTCTTTCCATTATAGTTAGTACTGTTGTGTCTTATTTAAAATCTTTCCTTACTTCAAGATTTATTGTTTTGCTTTTACTTTTTGATCTACAATCAATCTAGATTTTTTTTTATGAGTGATAGAAGTTTCGAGGTCATCTTTTAAAAAAATCTCCTATGAATATCTCATTGTTCTAGAACAATTTATATTATTGATTGTATCTATTAAAGTCAAATATCAGTCTACTTTCAAAGTACTATGGCTGTTTACTGAGATGATTTGAAGATTTGGGGCTCCTGGCTAGCTCAGTGGGTAGAGCATGCACACTTGATCTCTGGGTTGTGGGTTTGAACCCCATGTTGGGTGGAGAGATGATTTAAAAATAAAATCTTAAGAAAAAAATGATTTTAAGATTTACTCCATTGCCTTTGTTTTTTGGCAATTTTACTCTGCTAGGCCTAGGTGTGAAACGAAAAAATTGTAACCTCGCTTCTCATTCCCAGGGTACCTTCTTGTCTTTCACAGGCTTGTTTTCTTCTCAGCCACTAGTTCTTCAAATACTGCTTCTTAAATATTCTCTCCTCTGGGACTCAAATTATATGGATCTTTCACTTTCTCACTCTGTCTTTTATGTTTTCCTACCCTCTTTTTGTATTTCCCAATCCTTATCTCTTTATGGCTCCTTGTCAGCGCTTTCTCCTGACCTATATTCCAGTTCATTAACTGCTTCGTTGTATCATAGTTGCTGTGTAACTGGAATATTATAATATCTAGGTATAATAGTTCTATTTGTTTATTTGTTCCAAATCTCCTGTTTTAAAAGATAATTTCCAGTTTCCTGCTAAAATTGTTGATCTCTTCTTTTATCCCCCTGCTCATGTAAACATAGTTCTTTAAAAGTCTGGTCAATCGAATCGTGGCATCCTCCCAGCTCTGCTTCTAGTTTCTAGCATTCCTACTGGTTCTCATTCATGTTGCCTGGTTTCCCTGGGTACCTACTTATTTTTATTGGGGGCTGGATACTATACTTTAAAAATTGTTCTAGGAATAGCTTGAGGCCTGGGATGATTTTATTTTCCTCCAAAGAAAATATGTATTTATATCTGGAATGTTTCTGGGGTTACAATGATTCAAGATTGTTGGGGGCTTTTTCTAACTTATTTTTATTTTTTAAGTAGGCTCCAGGCCCAGCGTGGAGCCCAATGAGGGGCTTGAACTCACAGCCCTGAGATCAAGACCTGAGCCCAAATCAAGAGTCAGATGCTTAACCGACTGAGCCACCCAGGCACCCCCAAGATTATTCTAATGCAAACCAGACTGCAGTCTTTGCCAGAGCTACCCCACTTCCAATTCCCTCTTACTTCTGGGGCTGTAGTCTTTTGTGTCCCAACCCAAAGCATGGCTTGTTTTCCTTTGCTGTCCCTGAATACCAACCTTCTTTTCCCAGCCCAGTAATTTGTGCTCCTTTACCTCAGCCCCTCTGCTGCTTGTTTCCAAATTAGGAAATGTGTCAAGGGGACTGTGGCCCAAAAACACTAGGCTCACCTCACTGCATTTCCACCACCTCCCAGATCTTAGCCTAGTAAGTTTTACCTCGTTAGTTCTCCAGGACCTTCAAGCAGATTTTTTTTTTTTAAAGATTTTATTTATTTATTTGACAGAGAGAGACATAGCGAGAGAGGGAACACAAGCAGGGGGAGTGGGAGAGGGAGAAGAAGGCTTCCCGCTGAGCAGGGAGTCCGATGCGGGGCTCCATCCCAGGACCCTGGGATCATGACCTGAGCCAAAGGCAGATGCTTAACGACTGAGCCACCCAGGTGCCCCTTCAAGCAGATTTTTAATTTTGGTTTATTTGTTCAGCTTTTGTCATTGTCCTCATAGGAAAAAAAAATCAGTTGACATTGTTTAATCCATCATTACTCTTATGCAGGAATTTGTGGTATATTTTTTTTATCTCCTCTTTCTTAAGTCTTTGGATTCCAATTTCTTTTAAATTTTGTGGCCTCCTGTTTCAAAGTGCTCTGCCGCTCAAGGGTCTCAATTTCTAATGACATACTTACTCAAATAGCTCTTATATAGACACATGATACACACTTTCAATATATGTTATGGTTTATACACCATAAGAACTTTTTGAATTCTCTATGGACTGGAATATTCTTCTTTCTGGCCCTCAAATCTCAACTTAAGGGTCATTTTCTCAGGGAAGCCTTTCCAAGCTTCCCTGCATCAGTTGTAACAACTATGTATCTTACTCCAGGAATTTAAGTGTGCAGAATAAATCATTTTACTTCATTTTCTTTAAGTCTAAGTTTGACATTGAGATACCTTCATACTGCTAGAAAATTCATCCTTTATTCATGTGTCAGATGGGTTTCAGGGAGATCTTTCCTTGTTGCCCAACTTAATACAAGAACGTCTGTTGGGAATTGGGAATATGATATGTATAAATACTTAGTCCATGGTGGTGGTAACCTCATTGTTCAAACTCACATGTTCACTGGATCCGTGGTCCTTGATATGGACCTTGATATGGACCTAGCTTCCCTAGGGGCACGCCACAGATCCTGCTACTTCCTAAAATAGCTGCCAGCGATCTAGTTATGATTTCTTGCTACTTAAGAGACGTACTAATTCTGGAAGAAACTCCTCCCTCAGTGGCATTCTTCTTACACTTCTTCTCCCTGCAAAACTTTCTCAGTGAGTTCAGGCTTTTTGGGGGGTGTGGGGGAGAAGGTCAGTAAAGAATTTGCCTTTAGGGGCTTTCTGATCTTGGTCTTGCACACAAACCCCCACTCCAGCAAGAGATATCGAGCACCTGGCTAGCTGCTGGAAGAGAAGAGGAGCGGAAAAGTCAGCAAAAACAATTCGAAAAATAATGTTAATACATGATCCTGAGAAAAGTTTAAATCCATAGTTGTGCATTTTTAAAACATGTGTACCCATCCCATATAGCACCTACCATAGTTTCCATTTTAATTTTATCTGTATGATTATTTTAATATCTGTCTTCTTACTTCCATAATGTGATCTCCATGATCACAGACATCATGCCTAGTTTTGGTCACTACTATAGTCTTTTTTTTTCTTTTAGATTTGTTTATTTATTTGAGAGAGAGAGTGGGGGGAGGGGCAGAGGGAGAGGGAGAATCTCAGACTCTCCACTGAGCATGGAGCCCTACTCCGGGTTCTATCTCATGACACATGAGATCGTGGCCTGAGCCGAAACTGAGTCAGAGGCTCAACCAACTGAGCCACCCAGGCACCCCAATCTGATTATTTTAGTATCAGTCTTCTTATCTCTGTAATGTGATCTCCATGATCACAGAGATCATGCCTTGTTTTGATCACTACTATAGTCTTAAAAGCTAACATCATATCTGCCAATACCAGTCATTAAATAAGCCTTTGTTGAATTAATGAATTCATAAACAACTAATCCAATGAATGGTATTGCACAAGCTCCATCAGTAGAAGAAGTCCTGAAATTAAATGGTTTGCTTTCTTGTAGCTATCTCCTATATATAATCTGGTTCCAGTTAAAATAAAAGACGCACATCTAAAGAAACAAAATTTGGAAAATGCCATTGAAGATTACCTCAATGAATTCAGTGCGAGAAAATGTGACCCATGCCAAAATGGAGGTACCGTGATTCTGCTGGAGGGAGAATGTCTGTGTTCCTGCCCCATCACATTTACGGGGATTGCCTGTGAAACCAGTAAACGAAAAACTTAAGGTGAGAACAACTTATGATATATTATTAGGGACAAAACTGTGCATTTTGAGGTTATTTAATTTGAAAATTATCTCTTGAATTAATTTGTATGAAACTTCTAGATTATCAATGTAAAGAGAGGAGAAAAACTGAATGAATAATGAAAATGGACAAATCAGACTTTATATATCATTGAGCATGCAATTTTATATCTTCTACCTCTGCATTTAAACAGAACTATGAAAAAAAATTTTTAATTGTTAATGATTGACCCCTGAACAACATGGGTTTGAACTGCATGGGTCCACTTAGATGTGAATTTTTTACAGTAGTATTGTAAATGTAGTTTCTCTTCCTTATTATTTTCTTAATAACATTTTCTTTTCTCTAGCTTACTTTATTGTAAGAATACACTATATAACACTTTTAACATACAAAATATGTGTTAATCAACTATATTAGCAGTAAGGCTTCTAGGCAAGAGGAGGCTATTAGTAGTTAAGTTTTAGTGGAGTCAAAAGTTCTACATAGATTTTCAACTCTGCAGGGGTCAGTGCCCCTCACCCCCACGTTGTTCAAGGGTCAACTGTAATTTTTTTAAGCAAGTAAGCAAAATTCCTAATCTCTCTAAAATTTTTATATATTTTCCCGAGAATGTTTTCTTCACATGTTCTTATAAATACCCTTGAATAAGATGCACTTCAAAGTTGAATCCCTAAGACCTATGTCTTTTAGGTTCACTTTTTCAGATTGCAGGAAACAGATAGGGATAATAACAACAGTCTCCACAATTTCAGATGGCATTTATGAAGATCTGAAATATCATTTATCATTGTTAAACATACAAACCCTCTCAAGGTGTTCAAAAACTGTTGTAGCAACCTAATTACCTTGTTGTTAATATCAGAATGACGCTACCACTGTCATGACTCCGTTTATCACGTCCTTTATCCCCTCTGCTTCTACTGCTTCTATCTTTTCCCAATGCCTCCTGCATTCAAAATTCCCTAAGACTCTGTAGGGGATGTCATGGTGTACAGCCCAGATCTCCCTTCAGGACCAAGGACCCATCCCCCCACCTCCTAGGAGTGTTACCTGCTGACATTTCACACAACAATTCTCTTCAGGATCGTCCTGTAACAAGGAAGCGACCACACCCAAGGTTATGCTCCCAGCCTGAGGGAGGCTTGTATCTGATAACTGGTCAGTGTGGTTGGTATTTGATGAACAAGCCCTCTGAAGCACCACCTAGCTTCACAGCTCCCCATGTGATTTGCTGAAGCCTCTGTTGCAAGAACATCACAATTGAGCTTCCCCTTATTCCTAATTTTGCTTTCCACACTCCTCACAGATTTTTTTCCCAAGAACAAACACTAATAAATACGCTGCATACAAACTCAGATCCTCAGAGTCTATATCCAAGGGAATGCTATCTGCTACAGAGTCTGATTGGGTCAATTGAGTCTTATTCCATCATCCAGTACATAGTGTTCCTAAAACAGGAGGAGTTTCTAACGATAGTGTAAACTCCTGGTCTTCCTTATGTCTGTTTTGTATATAGAGGACTTTTGCCAAGGTGCTGACTTTTGTGCCAAATGGATATGGCCACAGTAGCAGGGTCAGTTACCTAAAACATGATTTTTATGTGTTTGCTTTAATTAAAAACAAAAACTAGACCGAAGGTGCTTGGGACTCATGAACCTGCAGTAAGGTAACACATGTAAAAGACTAACTTGAATTTGGGGAAAGAGTTCAAAAACTATTTGGTATTATTATCATTGATGCCTCTTTCCACATCTTCTTTTTTATATGCAGGCAAATAAGAAAAAAACACATATATTTAGATAGATATATGATAGACAGAGAGAAAGAGAGAGAGAGAGAGATCCTTCCTTCCTCATTTTTGTTCTTTACCCAATGGTAGTAAAGTATATACATTGATCCATCTGGCTTTTATCACTTATAATAAATCTTAAAGATCTTTCTTTATTATTTATTTATTATTAATTATTCAATTTATTTAAACTAAACCAAAAACAGTTCACCCATTTCTCCCACCCCACCCCCACCTCTCACAACCACCATCTATTCTCTGTATCTATATGAGTTTTGTGTTTTGTTTGTTTTTCTGTTTTTTTAGATTCCACATATAAGAGAGATCATACAGTATTTCTCTTTCTCTGTATGATTTATTTCATTTAGCACGATGCCCTTAAGGTCCATATATGTCATTCTTTTTTGTGACTGAATATTCCATTGTGTGTATATACCACAGTTTCTTTATCCATTTATCCATTGATGGACTCTTAGGTTGCTTCCTGTCTTGGCTATTGTAAAAAATGCTGCAGTAAACATAGGGTTACATATATCTTTTTGAGTTAGTATTTTCATTTTCTTCAGCTAAATACCCAGAAGTGGAATTGGAGGATCATATAGTAGTTCTATTTTTTTATTTTTTTTAGGAACCTCCATAACATTTTCCATAGCCGCTGCCCCAATTTACATCCCCACCAATAGTGCACATGGGTTCACTAACACTTATTTCTTGTCACATCCTCACTAACACTTGTTATTTCTTGTCTTTTTGATAATAGCTATTCTAACAGGTGTGAGGTGATATCTCATTGTGGTTGTGATTTGCATTTTTCTGATGATTAGTGATGTTGAGCATCTTTCATGTACCTATTGACCATCTGTACATCTTTTTTTGAGAAATGTCTATTCAGATCTTCTGCCCATTCTTTAATCAAATTATTTGTTTGCTATTGAGTTGTATGAGTTCTTTATATATTTTGCATATTAGCCACTTATCAGATCTATGGTTTGCAAATATTTTGTCCCATTCGGTAGGTTGCCTTTTCATTTTTTGATGATTTCCTTTGCTGTGTAGAAGCTTTTGAGTTTGATGTAGTCCCACTTGTTTATTTTTACTTTTTTTGCTTTTGCTTTTGGTGTCAGATTCAAAAAGTCATTGCTAAGACCTGGGTCAAAGAGTTTACTACCTGTTTTCTTCTAAGAGCTTTATGGTTTCAGATCTTACGTTCAAGACCTTAATCTATTTTTAATTAATCCTAGCCTACTGTACTATTTTCCTACTTTTATCTCTTTGAATATATGAAACATGTTCATTTGGGAGTCTCTCTTAATTTGCTCCCCAATATATATTTTCTGCACTGCAATTGTTTTGTCTATTAAGTGTACTAACTCATTCTCATGGCATTTTTTTCTAACTGTGTACTTAGTAATTTCTTATTACAGGCTTAATCCTCAGGGGAAATTGTTTCCTGTGGGAATTCTGTTACTCTGAGTATTCTAAGGGTTAATTTGTTTCTTGAGAGGTCCTGTTGTTTTCATTCATTTTGCAACAGTTTTTTAATGTAAATTTCTTGGTTCAGTTTCCACATTTTGTGTTTCATGGATAATGAAGATCAAGTTCCCTCCACCTATCTACATAGTAACTTTAAGGACGCTAGCATCTTCTGGTTGACTTTTCACACCTGACTCAGGATGGTCCACCAGAAATCTTTCTTTTTTTAAAAGATTTTATTTATTTATTTGACAGAGAGAGACACAGCGAGAGAGGGAACACAAGCAGGGGGAGTGGGAGAGGGAGAAGCAGGCTCCCTGCAGAGCAGGGAGCCCGATGTGGGACTCGATCCCAGGACCCTGGGATCATGACCTGAGCCGAAGGCAGTCGCTCAACCCACTGAGCCACCCAGGCGCCCCGGAAATCTTTCTTGATGAAATCTTTCTTGCTGAATCTTACTCTCAAGGAATCTCTTCCAGACATCCAATTTTCTGCAAAATGTTCAGTTCCAATGTCCCATTTAGGTTGGACATGCCCCCATCATGAGATTGAAAACCTTAAACATCACCTTTTTTAACATACTATTTACTTAAAGTAGAATGCTCTCCAACTTTCTCCTCCTTCAACCAATCCAAGCCCCCTCTCCTTTATTCCCCTTGTGTGTTTCTACTCCTTCCACACCAGTGTTTCTCAACCTAATGCTCTCTAGATTACCTGGTTAGCTTCTTTAAAAAGGCCAAAAAGAAAAATAAAACAGATGTCCATCCATGCCAGTTAAACCAAAACCTTTGTGGTGGATCCTTCCTGGGGCATGATTCTTTTTTTTTTTTTTTTTTTTCTTTTCCTCTTCTCCTCCTCCCCCTCCCCTTTTCTCATTCTTTGGTTACTCTAATCATGGAAAACCTTCCTTCTGGACCCAGAACAATTAACATCTCTTCAGTGAAATCTTCTCCAATTTCTCCATGAATCAGTTCTCTGTCTATGCTTCCTGAGCACTTTTCCCTCTGCTTTTCCAGAACTAATGACATTTCATCTTTCTACACAAGAGAATATCCCTCTAGTTTGGAAATGTGTCTCTTGTATCCTAAACCCCATTCTGTTCCCAGCCCCTAGAGAGTATCTGGTACGTCATGATGCAATAGAATAAGGGGATAAATAAATAGATGGATGGATGGACCCAAAGTTGAAGTCTTATTAAATCATTAAGATTTGATAATCCTTTGTTTTCTCTAGGATTTCCAGCCAAAAAAACAATTAAGCTGTTGACTTCCTTGGGATCAAACAAAACTAAAAACCAAGACTTTCCAATTAAGGATCCTGCCCTTGGAGACAGTTCTTGTTGCCAAATGAAAAGCAACATGAACATCCTATTGGCCTCTGAAATCTCCACTCTCAGATCCACAAGGCTTCTTTTCCTCCTTAAACTCCTATGGTGTTTCCATTTTTTTATTCCTGAATGAGCAGTAGGCAGTACACTATGCTTTCTCCCATAGGCAATGCCAGTCTCTTGTTAACAAAATTAAATTAAAAAGAGAATGTTGGTTTTAAAAGTAATTGCCAAAGTGCTTTGTATGATTAATATATTCCACCAGTTTCATCACCCCAAGTCCATAACATGCAATTTCATTCTTGTGTATGTTGTTGCTTCTTGTTGGGTCATTCATTGGTACCTGCATGCATTCATT